CGAACCCCTGATCCCTTTTAACCTGATGCCACATTTATCTCCATGCAGAGACCTGGAGAGCCTTGTCCCAAGGTTGGGTGTGAAGTTAGCAAAAACCCCAATGCGGACATGGGGTCCTCGGCCAGGCTTTACTTTCGCCTCTCTTCGGGCTCGAACTTGCCATGTTTGCCACAAACACAGCTTTGAAGTGAAGTTGACACCCTGGTGAGCACCTCCAAGGTTGAAGTCAAAAGAAGATTCTAACAGTTAGATAACCAAGTAGAAAGACCAGCCGGGACAATGTGTGTGTGTTGGGGGTCCCAGCAGACAGACACAGGGAGGGCCCGGGAGGTAGGAAGGGGTAGGAATGCAATATAAACAGGCTGTGTGGCATACCAGCAGATCACAGCCCACAGGATCTATGAAGATCCATAGGTGCTGATTACCCCTGTGTACCCAGCCCCCAGTGCAGTGCCGTCTTATACTGTGGAGAGGCTTGTCTCCAGGCTGATTGGCGCCGATGCCCAGATGATGTGAGTCACAGATTTTGGTGCCCGAGACTTGCCACTTTTATGGAGCGAGCAGGAGAACTGGCAAGTCTGCCTTTCACCTATACTGCAGGTACCATAAGAAGGTCAAAGTGGCAGGGACGGGATCATGGGACCAGGTCTTTGGGACTGCATCCAGGGCTCAAAGAATGAGTGTTTGACTGACGTCTACTTCCTTGGAGTAAGAGCTGGTGCTGTGTATTTGGTATTAGGGATCAGATACAGAGCAGCTGAAGCAGAATGGCTGGATTCCCTTGGAGACACCAAGGCATTTGAGGGCATCAGTTCAAATGCTTGTTGCCCACCTCTGCCACTGTCAAATGTTTCACTTAAGCAAGGCATGGTAACACATTCCCAGCACTAGGGAGGCTGAGGCAGGAGGTCCTAATGTTCCAGGCCACCCTTGTCTCAAAAACAAGACTAAACAAGAGTTGGCCCCGATGAGGCATACCTGTAATTCTAGCATTTGGAAGGTGGAGACAGGAGGTGCAGGGGTTCAAAGCCATCCTCTGCTACATAGTGACTTTAAAGCCAGCCTGTGCTGTATTGAGACCCTGTCTCAAAACAAAACAAAACAAAAAAAAAACAAAAACAAACAAAAAATCCCTGTTCAAACCCAAGTTTCCTCATCTGTAAAAGAAGAATACTAGCAAATATAAAATCACATTTAATTATTTCAAGGGTTATGTAAGCTCTTGGTGCCTGGAACACGGTAGACACTCTGAAAAGAAAATTCCCTCCCTAGGTAGAAGGAGGCTCAAAGTCTGAGATAATAGAGGACAGCAGAAGTCCTGGGGCCATGACACCAAGCCCTCACTCCCCACTCCTTCTCCTGCAGAGGTGACCAGCGAAACCTTTAACAAGGAAGCTTTCCTGGCCTCTCGGGGGCTCACTCGTGGCTACTGGACCCAGCTCAGCATGCTAATTCCAGGGCCTGGTGCCCCCAGGACCCCCTGGGGCGGCACACCATCCCTCAGCCGCCTTCTCAACGGTACATGAGGCCTCTTGCCAGGAAGGTTGAGTGGCTGGGGGAGTGGACCAGGTCCCATTTAGCCATTCCATATACATACCAACCCTGTACTAACCCCATTAGGGCTATTTTAAGCCTTTCCACAGACCTCAAAGGAGTCATTTCTGCCTGATCAGTCCAATAACCCTGTCTCTAGGCTAACTTCAGTCCTGCTACATACAGCTTCAGGCCTTCTCCCAGGGTGCTGGGCTTTTCTGTGAGGAACAGGGAGAGGAGGCAGGTAGGGTTTACAGCCCCTAGGCACTGTTTCTCATCCACTCAGGTGACCCTTACCAGCTTCTGCAAGGAGATGGGCCTGCCTTGATGCCTCCAGTGCCCCTAGACCCACCTAGGAGCCTCTTTGGTGAGCTGCAGGGTCCTGGAAGAACTGGGAGTTGGGACATCGATCCTGGAGGGGGTGGCAGATACATACCTGGTGCCTGAGAAGGGGGTGGGGATAACTTATTAGAGTTTGAGGCAGTCAAACTCTAATGGGATCAGGCCCCCCATTAAGACACTCTCCCCAGGTTCATGGCAGGATTACTACACATGGCGGGGTGAGTGGACTTCTTACCAGTCCCTGAGCTCAACATCCAGAACAAGCAGTCGCTGAAGATCCACGTGGTGGAGGCTGGGAAGGAATTTGATCTTGTCATGGTGTTTTGGGTAAGTCCCCACTCAAAGAGTGTGGGTTGCAAAGGTGGAGGTGGACACAGGGCAGGACCCTGAGCTGACCTTCTCTCTGTCACTAAGGAGCTCTTGGTCCTTCTCCCACACGTGGCCCTGGAGTTACAGTTTGTGGGTGACAGCCTTCCGCCTGAGAGTGACCAGCAGCATTTTACTATGCACAGGGTGAGAGTTAGAGAGGGGCTTGCTTCTCCAGCCCTGCCTCT